TACATATACATATACATATACATATACATATACATATACATATACATATACATATACATATACATACATACATATATACATTTAAAGTCACAACCCCTAGTATGCCCAAATATGGGAGGAAGTTCACTGCTTCCATTCTCTGTCCATCGGCTCATCACAAGAGACCATCCAGACAGAAACCCAGTATTTTTACTGTTGCCTTTGTTACATTTGTGTTGTATTTGTGTCTCCCTTTATTTATTTATCATTTATTTATTATTTATTTATATTTATTTATAATATATATGATTTAAAACATATAATTTGATATGAATTGTAGGTGATAACTGTGGAAGGGATGCACGAAAGCTCTTTGTAACCGATTGACACACTCACAATGGAAGATATTTTTGTGGTGTTTGTTGTGTTTTGTCTGTGTGTTTATTTAAAAATTTTAAAAAATTTTAAAAAAAGAAAATTGTACAAGAACCTCCCAAACTTTTTGGATGTGGCAATGAGAGCAGAGCCCTCTTACATGTCTTCAAGAGAGTTTTAAGGCTGCACAAAAGTACACCATATTCTCAATGCCCTTTAGGTGTGTCACAAAAAAATGCATGGCATGTCAATTGTGACATATGTGTCATAGATTTGCCATCAGTATCCTAGTTTCTCTAGTCTTTCTCCTTCCATAAATCTGGAGATTTCATATCAATTAAAATTAAGTTAATTAGATTGTAGAAGAGAAACAAGTTATTAACTTTTAGTGTTTTTTTTTAAATTAAGCTTTACAAATCATTAGCGAGCCCCAGCTTCAAAGATAACCTAAAGTTGCAACCAAGAACATACAAAAATGATACCAAATAAAATTTCAAAGACATACAGCATGGAAAGTTATTTGTCCATTTCATAATGGACAGATCAATTCAAAATTTAATACAATTTTCTTAATACATAAGTTATACAATAACATAACAAGGAGACAATAAATCAGAATGGTTATTTGGGCCAAAAATATATATCACCTAATATTCAAACCACATTTTCAATATAATATTCTCTATAAGAGTTTGGATTACAGCACCCACAATTTCAAGACAATGTGAGTTGAGAAAATTGACAGTAGTACACCCAACACATCAGGATGCTATTAGATCGGGAAATGCTATTGTAACAAATGTGATTATTACCATAAGCTATTTTAAAGCAAATTCTGGCTACACTGTTTTGGCCTCCTGTAAGAATGTCCTCTTCTGGTAATTGATTTACTTGCTCTAAGAGAACAATTCAGCTGCTGCTTTGAACACACAGAAGAGTTTGAACAGCTTAAACACAAGAATAAATGTTCCTTTGTGCAAAGCCTGTTAAAAAATACAGATGCAGTTAGTGTGTGTGTAATGTAATGTGATACTATACAGAAGGGTGATATATGATGTTATTCTGCCCAGGGAAAGGATACACTTTTAATTACTTGTTGCAATTGGTAAGGAAGGCACATAAGAAATATATACTATTTTATGTATTTTTTATTAAAACTTAAATAAAAATAAAAGTAATGTTTTTATTAAAACTATAATATACCAATAGAAAGTAAACAAGAAAAACAAAAAGAAAACAAAGAAAAAAGGTGTATTAAAGGGGGAAACTTAAAAAAATAAAAGAAAGAAAAATATATGAAGACATAGGAATATATGCCATTTCATGAGCCTTGTTAGACCTGTCTCTGTGAAGCTGTTACTGTACTTAGGAAATCACTTGGGCAATACCTTTTAGCAGCATAGACTGGCCGAACAGCAAGTATAGCAGTACATTATTATAAGAATTATCCATACTTAAATAATGATTGTCATGAAGACCTTCAGTATCAAAGACTTCTGGAAGAAAATAAAGGTGAAATTCCATTAAAAAAACTTATCAGGATTCTAGCCAAAAGTCTCTGACATTGGCTTTATTTTTAGGCCATGCAATAGAATAAAAACGGTATTTACACGGTTGAAAAAAACTGTGTATAGCACTTAGCAATAGCACTTAGACTTATATACCATTTCACAGTGCTTTACATCCCTTTAAGCAGTTTTCAGAGTCAGCATATTGCCCCCAACAATCTGCCTCCTCATTTTATCAACCTTGGAAGGATGGAAAGTTTATTAATTTCTTAGCACAGATGGTTGTGATTTCTAATGACATTTATAAAACAAGTTGTTTTACTTATTGTAGATTTGGCAACACTTAGCTAAGTTTCAAAAGAAGAAAATTGTTTTTAAAATTCTTGTTTGATGAAATGGAAATCTAACCCCACTGACTTTGTAAGTTATTGGTTCTTCTTCTTTGCACTGTTCCATCGACTGGATTTTGGTATCAGAGTGCAAACATGAGGATTAATCTCAAGAAATTATTGGCTGGGGATCTTACATACATTAGGATGACATTTGCTATTATGTAAACATCTCCCTGCATCCCAACCCTTTAATAAATGCACTGTAAAAATATGAACACAATCCACGGTTTTAATAGGAACTGTGTGCAAATTCACAATCCAGTTTAACACTAACATGTTAAAAGTTTGTTTCATATACTAACTGCATTCAAAAGTATTGCTTCTTTATATCAAATATGGAGAATCGGTGATCTTTTAAATATCATAAAGGATATATCATAAATCCAGCAAACATAACCAATGGGCAAGAACAGTAATCTGCAGGATTACAGATTTTGTATCCTGACATACTTTTTGAAATGTAATAAGTAAAAAAAAATCACAACTAACAGAACAGTATGAAACTATTTTATTACTGGTTAACGTTACTACTAGCTAATGTAAAATTGTTTTTCATATTCTGTATGACAAGTGGAAAACCAGATGTTCTTATGTCAAAAAACTGTGTGTCAGTTAAGGCAACCCCCCACCCCAAACCTGAATGCACATGTCGTGATTTGTCAAAATGAGTGCCAATCTTTCATGTCGATGGAGTTAAAACATACACTAGTGATAAAGCGAGGCTAAACAGAAGGTAAAATGGTATTAGCTCCCTGTAAGTGAAATAAAAATTATAGAAAAAACAAGAGGCCAAACCTAACTGAAAAGTAGTACATAATAATCAACAACAACCAGAAAAAGTAGCAATGTAAACAACTAAAACTGAAATAAACATTTAAGGAGAAATATGTAAAATATATTGTTGTATGTCACCAAGTTGTTTTCAACATATTTTTATCCTCCTGGTTGTTGTTTTTGTAAAATGCTCAACTACAGTATATGCAGATGGGTTTGTTTCTAATCAAAGAAGAATGGAAATTCTGGAAAACTTCAATAAAAATTAAATATGTGGATTTAAATCTGACTTAAACCTGTAGCATTATATTGGTAACAACTTTGTTTTGTTAAAAAAACCTCTCCTGTTGATTGACAAAACTGATAATCTAGCCTTCTCATTTTCAGATTAATAAGACACAAAATATTATAAAAATCAGCTATATTTATTGTTCAACTTAACTAATTGGTAATTTAAAACCCCAGGACTTCTCTGTGGCAATTATTTTCCTTCCATTTGTTTTACATTTCTTTGTTGACATTATTAGATACCTCACAAGCATTCTGCCTGAGGATAATGAATCTCTGGAGTAGAAGGGAGAGGCACCTAATTTCCAATAAACTGTCAAACTCACCACATGAATCAACCCCCCCCAATCCATATTTTCTCCCACCCTTTTGTCTCTGTAAACTGCTAAAAACCTGCTTGTTCTTCAGGCCTTGGAAAACATTCTTTTTTTTTCTTATTTGTCTTTTTTTTAAAAAAATTGTAAGCTGCACAAAGTTACTATGGAGATGAATGTCCTTAAAAATGAAATACTAAAGTATCCATTCCTCTGAAATATGTGTATTGGGATAATATGTTATTCTGAATTTCTTAGATATAATACAAAGAGACTGCAATATTTGTTATCCAGATTTTAACCCCTAATTTTACATTCACTCGTTTCTTAAAATATTCTTCAAGTTCAGCATTTCAGGATAGTTTATTTACAAATTTACAAATATAGGCCGTACTCATACATCATACTGACTGGCACCATGCTTTAGCAGCCAAAGGTTGTGTTCATTTACCATGTAGGATTGTGCAAACTCAAAAAAATAAGTCAAACTAATAGATTTGATTCAGTGCCGTAGTGCTTAAGACAGTCGGAAAACTCGTTTTCATTGGAATGAGCACCTTCTTTATTGTCATATATTTCAAGCACACTCTATTGCACAATCGTTGCTTTTGACTTTTTCCACAGATCCCTGAACTAAAAAACCCTTGGACCTTCTTCTCTTCCCAACAGATTGGCAAATAATGAAGGGAAGCAGGTTGGCACAAGCCGGCCAATCAGAAAATTGTATCTGACACGTCCTCTTGTCACGTGACCAGCCGTCAAATTCAGAGGGAGCTGCTTTGACATTCCTGGGGCTGCGCCGTTTCACCAGAATCCCTGTAAAACCACGCCCACAAGTTCTTCAATGGCTGGCTTTTTCCCCCAAGCCTTAGACTAGGTTTTTCCCATTGGTCGAGAGAAACGTACCTCAGCATAAGTGGCGGGGCTATCGTCCTTGTCTCCATTCCACGGAAGATGGCCTCGCAAAATCTGGTATTGTTGGAGGAAGATGAAGTTGTTAGCGGGGCTCAGCTTATCGCGGAGTCCTTAAAGATACAAGTAAGAGCGCTGGGTAACTCCCGAGTGTGGCTTCACCCTGAACAGCGGAATGGGAAAGACCATTTCGAAGTGCCGAGGGGGTGCCGAGTTGTGGAATCAATTCCAAGAGGCGGGCAAAGCGATCAGAAGATCTCTGTGCCGCTGCTAACCTCCTCCCTTGCACGGGCAAAACTTGCCTCTGACGCGTTTTGTTTAAACGGTTTATTGAATAAGCCACACACTGTTCAGAGTTTTTCAAACTTGGCAGCTTTAAGACTTGTGGACTTCAACTCCCAGAATTCCCCAGCCAGCTGGCTGGAGAATTCTGAGAGTTAAAAGTCCACAAATCTTAAAGTTGCCAAGTTTGGGGACTCCTGCTGTAGGATTAATACAAAGAAATAATTTTATGTTTCTTGAGCGAATCAGGACATAGTGCTGTTAATCTTAATCAAATGACAAGAAACAGACATAGAAGATTCGCTTTAAAACATCCATGTAAATTTTCGTGATACATCTGCCAAGACAGGAGTGATAATTTTGGTGATTATAGGAATTTGCAAGAAAATTACATGGTATTCACCTGCACCTATTCTAGAAAGCTCTAAATGTTTATTATTTTAAGTGTGAATATTTATGGGATACTCACCCGGTGACTGTTATAAGTACTACTCAAACTGGGAATCTATGCATTTGTTTAGAAGAAAATTCTATTCTGATCAAACAAAGCCTTACATGTAGTTTCAGTCTAGGTACTGGTGGGTTTTTTCCCCTTAATTCTGCAGAGGTGAAGTGATTTGTAGACCAAGAAAATTTGGTTTATTTTAAACTAAACTAACCACTGTTGTTTCATTATTGTCCTTTATCCTATTCTATATTGATTTATTTATTTCTATCTTAACTCTAGGTCCTAGAGTCTAGGATGTTGAAACTAACACTAAACAGAATCCATAAGTTTAGATTTTATGGTTAAATGAAAATAAATAGTACTTAGAAAAATAGATGCAAAAAAGAGCATTGTGGGAAAATGGGTTCTTTTGAATTACAAACTCATTTTGTGATTAATAAGATATATCTCATAATGTAATTAACCTTATAAAAAGCCAATAATTTTAATATGACTATAAGAATAAAATAGTGGACATAATGTACATGGGGACAGTAGAATAGAAGAAAAAAATGTAGAAGATAACAAAATACAGAGACCTGCAAAAATAGAATAACTGGCAAAAACAACAACGCAAAGGTAGTTCCAATAGTAATAGACTTCTTGAGTGCAATACCAGAATAATTGTAGCCCCATTTCAACACCATGGACATTGCCAAAATCACAGTCAGTTGCAAAAGGCAGTTTCACTTGGAACAGATTATACAAATTCTAATTTTGCCTTGTGTATAAAGCCTATCTCACTCTGCCCTTCATATTGTCAGATTATATAAAATTCCAAATGGGGATAGGGATGAGACAATAAAGATAGTTGGTTAAATTAAACAGATGCATTAAAATAAAATTTATTTATTTCAGGAAATTGAATACATGTTTGGCATTGTTGGTGTTCCTATAACAGAAGTAGCAACTGCTGCACAAGCAAGTGGAATTAAATATATAGGAATGCGCAATGAACAAGCTGTAAGTATTTGGGGAGTTAATTAGTGTCTCTGCTTGCTCAATAACTATTCAATGCTAAAAGCTCATTTTACTGTTACATAATCTGACATACTGACAGCACAGAATCAAACACTTTTATTTACTTATTGCTGAATTGCCACAGAAAGGTGGTAATTTCTACACGTTTTTGTCTTTAACAAAAGTGGTTTTTCCCCAAAGCATTCTCTAGAATTAGTGGAATGAGAGTCTATGTGCCTTACAGGATTGTTGTAATAAGGGAGTGTTGGCGAATCTTTTCGGCACCAAGTGCCGAAACAGGAGCATGCAGGAGAACACGAAGCAGCAGCACCAGAGCGCCAGAAACTGGAAGAGCAGTTCCCCAGTGCACATGCAGAATTATGAGTTAATGTTAATTATTTGCAATGTCACAAGTTAATTTTTCCCTTTTTGTAAGCTCCCAGGAAAGATCAGGCAACTGTCTGGGAGGAGAGGGGGACAGGGGAAATTATGGCAGTTGCATAATATTACTCTACGAATTCTGCAACCTATGTACTTGCATCAGACTTCAAGATGCAAGTGTATAAGGACAGGATTTGCATGAAGATTGCGTACATGTCATGATTGCTGCAGATGTTTACTTAAAAAAGCAGAGTCCAACACTCACTTAGTCAAGCCTCAATAATAAGAATTTGACTTAATATATTATTCTCTCATTATATAAAAATAAATGATATAGAATTCTCTCTCATGTAGTTTTTCTCTTATATTTAGTTTGCTTGATTGAATACTAATTGTAGAAACTATTCAGCAGCAGAAGAGCACTCCTTAATATTGACTATTCTTGATATTTAAACCATGGATTCATTTCCTTTTCAAATTTCCAGTGACATTTTATATTACTGAAATTTATTATCAAGCATTAAAGTTTCATAATTTGTTTATGTAGAAAAAATAATAATGATGAACCAATGTTTTTTGTACCAAAAAACTTAAAAGCTTAAAATTATTGGTTGGAGAAAAACTGGCACAAGAAAAGTATGGGCAAGCATTTGCTAATATTTTCCATCTATTACCTGTATAATTACATGCATTAATATATCTGAATCCATAACAAAAATATACTTACAAATAGTGGCACATTTTTCTTTTACAATTAGCAAAAATGATTACATAATTATAAGAATAATCATTCCAGGCATCTGCAAAGTTTTATATAGCATTTTAATTTGCCACTTGGTTTGACAATGTGTTGTCATGGCATCATGGCATTTAAGTACAAACAGTTTTGCCAATAGAACACCCACTCTGGATATCTTTAACTGTTTCTACATTACTTGGCATGTTTTTCTTTCAGAAATAGAAGAGAAATGCATAAATTACCTTCTGGTGTTTAAGTTTTAATTTTTGAAATATGTTATATAAAAAATAGTATCTGCAATTTTAATAACTTAACTCTTGTACTATGTCCCATATTGTCTTCTACATGATGCTTTCTGAAATCATCAGTCCTCTCAAGTATAATTTTTTTTCACAATTTTTTTTGTATATTATGGCTAGACCTCATTGAGGGCAGGGTGGGAGGGGAATCATTTCTTCCCCCTAAAGGTATGCTGCATAAATACTGTAAAAGACATTCAGATGCATCCTATTATTTTGCTATATTAATTTCCGGCCTGATCTAAGTAACTCTAAATGTCCAAAATGACAGTTAATTAAAATTTATAATAAAATAATTGTAGTTTATTAAGGTAGGCCAAAACCCAAAAGCTTATTACATCCATCCTCAACTCTCAGCATGAAGAATAGCATGCTTTTTCTGTTAGATTAATGTAGGCTGGGCTTCTGAACCTGATACCATGCAGCTATATGAGATTTAAACTTCACCTTCTTTAGTCATTCAGTTTGAAAGCACCAGATTAGAAAATACTGCTTTAATCTAGAGAAATGAAGACGTCAAATCCATTTGGAAGAAGCTGTATTATATATTTTATATGAATTTCTATATGTAATTATAATTGCAGTTATTTAATTGCAATTAAATAATTTAATAATTACAATATTTTAAATGTGAAGCTTATGAACCAGGTTTTGTATCTAAGTTGTATATTGTTTGGATGGAAAATATCCCATTAAAAAACTTTTAGTTAAAGCTGTCAATATGAACTCAAGATGAGTTCATTTGTTAATTTATTTTGTTCCCACTGCTAAATTAAAAAGCTGTCACAATCTTTGAATTGGCACAAAGTAATATCAACATAATTTTTTTATATCCGATGGTCAGTCTCTGTTCAAGTTACTGCCAGAAAATGATTTTCAAGATCTGATTTTTGCAAGTTCTAATAATTATAAACAAGGAGATTGGTTTTCTCCATTGGTGTTACTCAGCACATCACAATTCAGCATGGAAAATATCTGCCAATTGTTGCATTACACAAGAAAATAGCTGATCTGACTCTAGACAGAATTGTCTTTTTCTCCATTCGCAACCCATAGTAGTTATTAGGCTACAAATCACGAGACTGAATTTGCCTTGGGCATGAAGCCAATTCTGTGACTTTGGACCAGTCACCTTCTCTCAGCCCAAAGAAAGGCAATGGCAAAAACGTTTCTGAAACATCTTGCCAAAAAAACTGCAGGGAATAGGACCCCATTAAATAGGATTTTAAAAAAGTTTAAAGAAAGAAATGGGAAAATACCAGTATCAGATAATCCTGCAGGGAAGAGTGGGAGATCTTTCAATTCGGTAAAATGGAACAAATGAATAGCTGCAGTGGGAGGACTAATGATTGAAAATGACAGTGGTGACAAAGAGGCAACTGAGGTCTGAAATCAAATAGGCACAGCTTCTATGTATACAGAATAGCAGCCTCATCAATAGGCAAGCTTTTGATTTATAGATTATGAAAAATACCTGAAGAGTTTCTAGGTAAAGGACATTATCATATACGTTGATTGAAGTTGTGCGTCAACTGCAGCCTCTGAAAGGATTGATATGGATATTAGAATTAAACTAGATCATCTCTGCACACATCACCACTTCACTGGAGAATTGTTAGTAACTTTATACAAAGCAGAGACAATTTGGAAAGACCCTTGAAACAGTTGCATCAAATCTTTTGAATGGAGGATGCTTCATTTGTGTCAGTCTTTCAAATGCTTTGCTAAGCCTTACAAAATAGTATATAAATCTATTGTTTTGGTGTACTACCTATTTCCATTCAGATTTTAATTAATGTTTCATTTTCAATAGGCCTCTTATGCAGCTTCTGCTGTGGGGTATTTGACTGCCCGGTAATTATAAAAATTATTTTCTTGTATTCTAAGATTTTGATATAATAGTATTTCAGAATTTTGAGTTCATCTAAACTTTTTGTAGTTTATGCGGCAGTGTTTCTATTAGTTACCTACTACCACAACCTCAGTTTTCTATCATTGAGGATAAGTGCATAATAAATAAAAACAAAAATGAAAAAAAGCTGAACTTGCTTAACATTCGTACCATCTCTGAGCTGTAAATGATTTCATTTACATTTAAATCTATTTTATATTTTATGGTTGTAAACACCATTGTAGATGAACATGTGAGTGATAACTTGCCCTTCAACCTAGTTTTCTTATTTCTTTTCTATTTACTTTATGTATTACAATATTTTGACCTTCTCTTTTGTACTGAGGGCAGAAAGTAGATTTAAAATACTCCAGTTCAATAAAAATGAAAAATTTGCCTTGCTTTCAAACGAATCCTTCAGAAATGTTTGGGTATGATACCTCCGAAGTTATTTTTTGCTTCAATTGAAAACCTTAGCAGCTTTTCTTTTTGTTTCTAGGCCTGCCGTATGCCTTGTTGTTTCTGGCCCTGGTCTTGTAAATGCTCTGGCTGGAATGGCAAATGCAAATATGAACTGCTGGTAATAAATCTGTATTTTATATTTTATTTCCAAATACACACACTCAAATACTATTTATCAGGAAAGCAGATAGTCGTATCATATCCTCATCCCATTTCCTCTCCCATTTTATTCAGTTTTAAGTAGATAACATCTACATAGGGGAGAACACAAATATGACATGTTATGTCCCAAGAATTAAGGATTGTCTTAATGTATTTTAATTCATTGCCTTCCCCATTTCAGTGAGTGATCTCTATGGTCTAATGATGATGGGACATAAACACTGGAAGATTGGGGAAGATTACCAAACAGATTTTGCATAAAGATTTCATGCTTTTGTAGCAGCCTTTTTATTAACTGTATATTGCATATAACCTTCACTTGCTTTGAGAAGTTGATGATACCACTTAGTGCTTCTTTAAAAAGTAAGTCATTTTTGGTAACTGTCAAATTATCTGATAGAAACATAAGAATGTTTGCTTTAAGATAAAGATAGTGGTTCTCTTATACAATTGCATTTATTTCAAATGATAACAAGTCATGCTCATAATCTACAAGCTAGTCTTCAGCAATATGTGAACCAAGAGCTACCAGAAGTATAAGCTGGGTTTCAAAGAAGCAGTGAAATTAGATACCAATCTGGCAACATTTGCTGGATTATGGAAAAAACAAGCAAGTTCCAAAAACATTTGTTTCAAAAACATCTATTTCTACATTAAAGCCTTAGACGCTATGGATCACAATAAACTGGGCAAATTTTTAAAGCTATAGGAATACCAGACCACTTTATCTATCTCCTGAGAAACCTGCAAAAAAGAACAGTTTGAACAAGACATGGAATAATTGATTAGTTCAAAATAAGGAAAGGAGTACAACAAGGTTGTGTATTGTCATCCACCTCATTTAATTTATATGCAGAATACATTATGCAAAATGCTGCACTAGATGAATCACAAGCAAGAATTAAAATTGCCGGGAGAAATATCGTATCCAGAAGAATATCATTCTAAAGGCAGAAAGTGAAGAAGAACTAAAGAGTCTCTTGATAAAAGTAAAAGAGGAGTGTGCAAAGGTTGGCTTGAAACTCAACATTTAAAAAATTAACATGGCATCCAGTATCATCACTTCCTAAAAGAAGGGGAAGAAATGGGAGCAGTGACATATTTTATTTTCTTGGGCTCCAAAATCAATGCATACTGTGATTGCAGCCGTGAAATTAAAGGACACTTGCTCCTTTGGATAAAAGCTATGACAAACCTAGACAATAGTAATATAGAACAAACTAGTGAAGCAGTATTTAATTCCTTTTTTTCTCCTTACTATCTTTTCCTTCTTTTTGAATTGATGAAAGTTCCCAAAAGACTTGATCTAACTGATGAAACCAGTTCTTACAACATCTTGCCCAGGCAATAAGATATCAGTTTTAATTGAATGTTAAAGCAAGCAGTATTTAGGAATATATAGCCTTTAGGTTCACAAGTTGCTTATTCAAGAATTAAGTGAATCTAGCTTTTGTTTTTAAGGAATTAAACTTTTGTTTAATTTTTTTAAGGCCATTGATTGTCATTGGAGGCTCCTCTGACAGAAATCAAGAGACTATGGGAGCTTTTCAAGAATTCCCACAGGTGCACATCTCTTCTGTTATTTTTTTGTCATAAAAGAATATCTGGATACTTTAGAAATCCATCTTCCAATTACAATTCTCAGCCTTGACTATTTTAAGATGAGTGAACTTCAACTTCCAGGGAATTCTAGAGTTGAAAGTCAACACATTTTAAAGTTGTCAAGGTTGAGAAACATTATTGTAGCTGATGCTCTTTAGGGTTAGGGTCAGGAGCATCTCCTGACAAAGATTTTCATATCTCAATAAATATTATTGATAGACATAATATGAAAAAACCCAGATTAAATTGAACAAACCTTCCTTTCTCCTGTTTTTACCTATAAGAATATACTCTCTGAGCCCCTTTACTTAATATTTTACATAAAAATCAATGTTCACCATCACCAGCAAATCTTTGTCATCTGCAACTACTTGGCTCTTTGAAAACTGCTTTCTGTTTCTTTTTAATGTAAATTAAAAATTACATTACATTAATGTAATGTAAATATAAAGGACAGTTGTTTTGCCTAGTCTTTTCTGGTATCTTCTGCTGCATTATAGTGCTTTCTGATCTTCTCCAACTACTTCATTCTTAGGGACTCATATTGAACTTAATTATTATTAACAGACTATATTCAGTATTGAGAGCCAGTTAGTATAGTGATTAAAGACACTGGACTAGAAATTGGGATACTGTATTCTAGATCTGCGTTAGCACAAGGAAGCTAAGTGACTTTGGACCAGGAAAACTTCAGGGATTTATTCTTGTGATCATCAGCAATTGATAATTGATTTATCTTCCCCTCCAAACAATTAATATTAAGCAGATATACACCTAGCTTTTTCTTACTCTCCTCCCTAGCCCCTCTCATGGATACCTTAAGTTTCCCCTGGAACAGTTTTGGAATATTGGGGCATTAATGATATTAAGACTTTATTCCATTAAACAAGTATAAAATGACATATAATCTGGTGTCCTTTGCCCCACCTATGGCCAAATGCTATTAATTTTATTTGTTCAATTTAATGGATGCTTGTTCCACCTTTTTGGATTATTTGAATTTTTAACTATAAAACAACTTCATTTCCTAATTTTTCAAATAATCAAAACTTTTGAAATGGCAATGCTGTATGTTTTACAAATCATAACCTTTTGTGTTAAGAGTAGATATTATGTAATGTGTGATTGAAAGTCTTTATAAAGAAGCTTTTCTGCAGATAATTATGATAGAGTAATTGTGAGTAATCCTTGCATTTTCTGTAATTAACTAATAGTTGTGGCATTTATAAATAGAACCTCCATGTTAATTTCTAGGATATCTCTGCAAATCAGTTGTGGTAGTTCCCTGCTTTTCATTATTATTTTTTGTGGAAGTGGGATACGAATTAGATGGATTGTTGGACTGATCAACTCCTGTTGTAAAATCTCTTGTTATTTAAAAAATAATAATATATGTGTTTGTTTTCAGATTGAAGCATGTAGACTTTTTAGCAAATTTTCTGTCAGACCAAGCAGTCTAGAAGCTATTCCTGCAATTATCGAGAAGGTAAAAGATAAAAAGTAATAATATGTAATTCTTTTCATGTAGCTCTGTGAGGCACAAATAGCACTGGAAAATTGTCATATGGCTGGTGATGCCTGAATAAATGAATGGGTCCAGTTATTTATATTTCAGGGTAATAGATAATCAAAACAGCATCTAACTTTAGAAAATGACCAGTATCTTTTAAGATGTTAGCATTATATGTTAATATTATTTCATAAATATGTTAGCTATGTAATTTTATACAGTGTGATTGTAGACAATGACGATAATAATTTATACATACACACTTAGCTTATAATATATAATTGATTGACAGAATTACCACCAGTCAATTCCTAAAGGAACAGCTTACATTCTGCAATATTACCTATAACATCATCAAACAACATCTGCCTATCTCAGGTCCTTAGGAAGGACTCATTAGGTGAATAAAAATGCAAAATATAGTCTAAACATCTGGTTGATTTCAACCAACCATGATAATAATAATGGCATAAACCAGTAGTGCTGGTCATAGTGGTTATCAGAGCTTAGAAAAGCTGTACATTTACAAAATTTCTAACTCAATTACAAAAGACCATAAAAATGATTTATAAGAATCCTTACATTAGAGCTTTTGCTCCAGGAGTCTTTAAATGAGCCTGTAGTTCAATTTACATTTTGAGGGGGACATCACTGTTATAGCATGGCTGTGCTGCAATGCACAACCCCAAGATACAAAAGATTTGCTACAGGAAAAACAAGCCCATTTTCAAGGAATATCTATCTAGGAGTCATGTTTGTTGTAGAATTCAGCCAGGGATTTTGATTGATGACTCCAAATCTATTTGTTCATAGAGCTAAATAAATCATGGATATGCTTATTTACAGACTGAATCCAAGTTATTCATTCTTCAGTAGAGGGATGTTTATTTTGTCCATTGTTTACTTAATGCATTTTTATCAATAAGAACTGGTATAATTAAAAATAAAATAAAATCTTAATTATGATTACTGCCATATATTTTATCTTCCAATTTCTCTAATCAATCTAGGCTGTCAGAACCAGTATTTATGGACGCCCAGGTGCCTGCTATATTGACATACCTGGAGACTTTGTAAATCTGACAGTGAAGAAAAGCTCTGTCAAGTGAGTTGTTACCATTATAAATAGCAAATTGTTTCTACCGATAATGTTGTGGTACTTTTACCATATTTATGGTTTCTCATGGGATATACGCTTAATAAAGGTAGATAATGACTCTAAAAACTACCTATATCACAAAATATTTTCTGGCATGAGAAACTTTAAAGAAATGTAAGTCAGACTCATCAGAACTTGGTAACTAACTGGTCCCATCCAATGAACTCTAACTTTTTAAATTTATTCTTCGACAAACTTTTATAAGGAAATTATTTAAAATGAAAGATAAAACAATTGAGGTCAAGATTATTTAAATGAATGTTTAATTCCATGAGTGACTCAGATATAGAAATGCGAAATAGAAATAAGAACAATTAAATGGGATTTAATGTTAACTCATTGCTTAAATAAAACACTTCAGATTTTGGAAGGGATCTCAGGATTTCCAAATCATATGCCACATCCAGTATTTTACAAAGGAATGCCAGAGCATTGGCAGGTGTTTCAAGCATGAATTTCACCTTTAAAAAAAAAAAGGTTTCTTAAGATGAAAAAAGGTATGCTGAAAAAATGCCAGCAAATGAAACATTTTTCTTTAGAATCAAAATGTAACTCTACCTTAGGACAAAGACTTTCCGGGTCTGTTTCCCATAACTTTAAGATATAATTAAGGAATGGAAGCTAAACTGATCTCCTTTCAAATACATAGACAATGGCCACATGAATCGTTATCAGTTTGAGAGCCACCATTACAGGAATACTCAATTTTTACCTTTCAATTGTTATGTCTTATGTTCCTTTCAAAGCTTTACAGCAACTTTCCTATTTTTTTAAATGGATATTACATTTGAGGCTGTAATGTATTGTTTGCTTTTGATCTTGTTCCTTGAGAATAAATGTGAGAGAACGTAAAGAACCCATGTAAAGAAGCATTTGAAAAAAAGCTACCCGGAAATTAATTGAATATAATCTTTAACTCATTGAAAAAAATAAGTGAAAAAAGAGTGACATTACCATATTCTGATCATATAAAAGAAATTTAATTGTTTAGAAATTAGTATCTGCAGGTTCCATTCTGCTTACATCTGCCCATATGCTACGAAGCAAAATACACAATTTGCCTCTGAATGCAAATCGTTTTAAGATTTTTACCTATGTATTAAAAAGACCTTATTACAGATTAAGCATTTGTAAATACACAAAATGCTAGCTTTACTTTTGAAGGCTAATATTTTTTTCTTTCCACAACTATCTACTGTATTTTTTGCACTGTAAGATGCACTTGATCATAACACACACATAGATTTAGAGGTGGAAAACAAGAAAAAAAATGAATATGGAGTGCCATCTCACTGTGAACATGGAACGGGGAACATGGAGCAGCAGTGTAATGAGGGCAGGAGGCAGAGCCTGAGAGAACCACAGATAGGTGTCCTCATGTGCCAGCTCTGCCTATTGACTCCTGCACTGCGGAAGAGAGCCAGAAGAGACGGGCAGTAACAAAGACAAGTCTGGGACACAATATTTGCTCCATAAGACACACAGACATTTCCACCCATTTTGGGGGGTGGGGTGGGAGGGTGGTATATACTTCGATACAACAGAGAATTCTACCCTGTATATTGGGTTGCTTGCTAAGACACTTTCAAACTGAACTCAACTTGTGAGTTTATATATCCATATTGTGGGTTTGGCAACAATATAAAAGTGGTTTGCCAGTGACAACTTTTTGGGGAAAAATCCCAGCTTAGTCTTTGTTTCATTTCTTCAGCAACACATTCTACATTATCAGAAAGTGATTTCCATTAGTTTATGCCTGGTAACAAGGAGGTGATTGTACTTAACAATATAGTCTTCGACTTACAACAATCTCTATTCATCAGAAAAAACATGTGTTTCTATTATTTTCAGAGTTCATATGCTTCTTTATTGTCCTTTAATTTTTAATCTTTAATTGCATATAAACTTTTCTAACTTTGCTTTGCAGTAATTTTTGCTTACGTTTAAGCCAACCATTGATTGGACATAAGTCCAGCAGATAAGCTTGTAAGACACACATTACTTCTTTCTTTCTAGTACAAGTTACAGTATTTCTTCTCAGATCATATTGAAATGTAATGTCTCCCCAATTATATTTTCAAAGTGGATTGAATTCTGAATTTCTTTTATGAAACAATTTTAGAATATTTTTCTCCACTATAAGAAAATGGATCATTGAACTTGCTTTGATGGTTTCTTTTCTACAGTGGGTATCTGTTTATCTCTTGTGAGATAATTTTGCTGTAGGAAATTACTTCTATTGTCGTATTTTTCAGTGTATAAGATACACTTCCCCCCTCCCAAAGTGGGTAGAAATGTCTCTGCATCTTATGCAGTGAATCTTGCTAAAGCCTCCTACCCCTACCCTTTGGCTTTGCCTCCTTGCAGCAAACAGCCTGGTCAGCTTCAGCACAGCTTGATTTAGCACAAGCAGCTGGTTGGCGGTTGGATCTGCCTCCCGTAATACCGCCTATTAGCTGTTCCAGGCTGTGGGGATTGCCGTCGCCACTGCTGCCAATCTCCCCCTTGCACCCCATTTTCAGCCTCCGCACATTCCATTTTTGGCCTCCATGTGTCCCGTTTTTGGCCTGTTCCAGGTGCCAGGAATAGGCATCAATCCCTGCCACCTGGAACGGGCTGAAAATTGGACCGTGCGGAGGCTTATAATGGGATACATGGGGGTGGCATTAGGCAGCAGTGGTGATGGGTGGCGACAGCCAGCAATGAGCCGTGGTGATCCCTGTAGCCTGGAACAGCTTATAAGAGGTGTTCTGGGAGGCAGAACCAACCGCCAATCAGCTGCTTGTGCTAAATCAGGCTGTTCTGAAGCAGACCAGGCTGTTTGAAAGGTTGCTTGAACCATAAGCCTTTCAACTATCTGGCTGAAACAGGATTAATGTCCTCTAAAAGATCTACTATTCCTGTTATTTTTGTTCCTTTGTATGGGGGGGGAGGGGGAACCAGCTGCAGGCATTTGATGCTTTTCCATGACATGAGAGTCAGGCATTTTACTAAATCAAATGATAAATCAATTGAAGTTAAATCTTGACTTTCCAATTTGATTCAAATTTTGTCACCTTTGAATCTTCGTGGTATGTCCTTAATTCAATCACCTGCTTGTGCTAAATCAGACTGTGTTGAAGCTGACCAGGCTGTTTCCTGCAAGGAGCAAATTGCTGGGAGGTAGAAGCAGACTTTTTTTCTTGTTTTTCTCCCCAAAAGCTAGGTGTGTCTTATGGTCAGGAGCATCTTATAGTCAGAAAAATACTGTATATATTGTCTGGTTTATCCTCTTGAAATCTTTTTGAGGGTTCCACCACAAAAGCGCGTAGGACAAAATCGCGCTCGACAAAAGTGCGCTGTGACGTCATCACAGCG